TACAAGTATATATATATACACATATATATATACACATATATATATATATCAAAGAAATGGTTCATGTGGTTATAGAAGCTGCAATGTCCCAATTCCATGGGTCAGGGAAAAGGCTTCTCGTGATTCACGTAGCCACAGGGCTGTTGCTCACAGGCTGTGAAGATCGACAAATCCCAAGATCGGCAGGCAAGATTGCAGGTAAACTGCCAGCTTAAGTCCCAAGAACTGGAGGTCAGATGAACAGGAGCCAGCTGCAGGATCCAGAATGAGCAAAAGCCCCCCGGAGCTCTGCCTGAATGTCCAACCATACTTGACGCAGAGAGGCCACACGCCCAAGGAAACTCCCCTTCAACTGACTGGCTACTCACAGCAGATCCCATCATGGGGGTGATCACATATCAAATCCCAACAGGGAAGTGATCACAATATTATAAAACTGCCAAAACACAGAATCATGGCCCAGTCACGTTGACGCACAATCTTAACCATCACAGTAATGTACAAATTATAATGGGGGCATGTCAAAAAAATACAGGAACCTAGTTAAGGGAGTTCCTAATAACCAAATCTGGAACAATTTGAGCAAGAAAAGAAATAAAAAAGTAATATGGATTAGCCTATACTGGTATAAAAAATTTAATAAATGAATAAAGGGTAGAAAAGTGAAAACTATTCCTTGGAGAATTCCAATTAATAAACACAGAAGAAATGACTAGAATAAAAAATACCACTTGGTAAACACCACAGTAATAATAATCATAGGTAATAATTATCAATGGATACTAAAATTAGTACACCAAAATATGATAAAAAACAATATCTAAACTTTCAAAGTATCAACCTATGAGAAACTTAATAATTATAAAAGGTTAAGTACTTAATGTTACAATAGGAAAAATGTAATGAAATGCAATAAAGATGAAAACAAAAAACACTCTTAAACCAAATACAAGATCATCGTATTTTATTGTATGCAAAATAACCTCAATAAACCATTACAAAAGATAAAACCACATTTGCTAAAGGCTATTCCTTGCAGCCTTTTGTGTAATAGTCAAAGACTTTAAGAAAGGTAAAATTTTGCTTGGACTGAGAAAGTGACAAGCACTGATGAAGACAATCCCATAGTTGCAATGAAATCGTCGTTTCTCCCGAAGGTACAAAGTAGCTCTAATGACACTTTCTTTGAGTTAGTATTGCTTTCTTACTCACAGAAAAACTTTGTTTTTTGTTTTGCTGTTTGAAATTATAGCAGTAAGAATGAAACATCCCATTTTTCACATAAAGTAGTCTTTCCACGGTGAGTTCTTCTATGTCTAGTGAGGTGTGAGGCCTGAGTAAAGGCTTTCCCACATTGTTTACATTCATAAGGCCTCTCTCCACTGTGAGTTCTTACATGGGTAGTGAGGTGTGAGGAATCACTAAAGGCTTTCCCACATTCCGTACATTCATAAGGTTTCTCTCCACTGTGAGTTCTAATATGTGTAGTGAGGGCTGAGGAACAACTAAATGCTTTCCCACATTCATTACATTCATAGGGCCTCTCTCCAGTGTGAGTTCTTATATGTGTAGTGAGGGCTGAGGAACAACTAAAGGCTTTCCCACATTTCTTACATTCATAAGGTCTCTCTCCATTGTGAATTCTTGCATGTGTAGTGAGGTGTGAGGCCTGACTAAAGGCTTTTCCACAGTCCTTACATTCATAAGGTTTCTCTCCACTGTGAGTTCTTAAATGTGTAGTGAGGGATAAAGCCCGACTGAAGGCTTTTCCACATTCCTTACATTCATAAGCCCTCTCTCCACTGTGAGTTGTTATATGTCTAGTGAGGGCTGAGGCCTGACTAAAGGCTTTCCCACATTCCTTACATTCATAAGGTCTCTCTCCACTGTGAGTCCTTATATGTGTAGTGAGGGATGAAGAACAACTAAAGGCTTTCCCACATTCCTTACATTCATAAGGTCTCTCGCCACTGTGAGTTCTTATATGAGTAGTGAGGTGTGCAGACTGACTAAAAGCTTTTCCACATTCCTTACATTCATAAGCCCTCACTCCACTGTGAGTCCTAATATGCGTAGTGAGGTGTGAGAAACATGTAAAGACTTTCCCACATTCCTTACATTCATAAGGTCTCTCTCCAGTATGTGTTCTTACATGTGTAGTGAGTGCGGAGGAATCACTAAAGGCTTTCCCACATTCTTTACACTCATAAGGTTTCTCTCCAGTGTGAGTTCTTCTATGTTTAAACAGGGATGAGGCCTGACTAAAGGCTTTCCCGCATTCCTCACATTCATAAGGTTTCTCTCCACTGTGATTTCTTATATGTGTAGTGAGGGATGAGGCCCGACTGAAGGCTTTCCCACATTCCTTACATTCATAAGGTTTCTCTCCAGTGTGAGTACTTACGTGTCTAGTGAGAGATGAAGCCTGACTAAAGGCTTTCCCACATTGCTTACATTCATAAGGCCTCTCTCCACTATGAATTCTTATGTGTTGAGTGAGGGATGAGGCCTGACTAAAGGCTTTCCCACATTCCTTACATTCATAAGGCCTCTCTCCACTGTGAGTTCTTATATGTTGAGTGAGGGTTGAGGACTGACTAAAGGCTTTCCCACATTCCTTACATTCATAAGGCATATTTCTGATATGAAATTTTTCATGTAAAATAAGGGAAGAAGGACGACTATAGGTCTTACAACATTCTTTACATTCATGTTTATGACCTCTCACATGTGTCCAAAAGGATGAAAAACTACAGAAATGTTTCCCACATTCATTACATTCATAGCGTTTCTCACCAGAGAGTGTTATCACAGAATTCTTAAGCACTGACATACAACTTAAGTCTTTTCCACACAACTTACATTTATAAAGTTTCTTTGCAATGAGAGTTCTCATAGGCGTGAATAAGTGAGAGGGGCAACCACAGGTTTCTGCACATTCCTTACACTGACAGGTACTGCATCCAGTGTGAGATATGGTATGATGCTTATGTGATGGGTGATCGATGAAGGCTTTTCCACACTCACAGCATTCAAAAGGATTTAGTTCTGGAGAATTTCTTTTTAGCACAGTAAGATTTGGAATCCAGCTGAAGGTTTTCCCACACTGATTGCCTTCATTACTTTCCCAGAGGTTCTCTACTGTGTGACTTCTGTTAAAAACAGGCAACATTCTGTTGGAAATAAATGTGTTCCCATTTCACCATTACCAAACACAATGAACATGCGTAGTTTTTGCCTTGACTTGTCTCGTTTCATAGGTGAAATCATCTAGCAAAAATACTATCATTACGGTCACTGTTTTTCTAAAATATGTGGCTTTCTGATAATTGTGTCCAAGGGAAATATGTTTTCAAGTACTCAGTATCTGACTTACGTTTATGAAAATGTGCGTGTGTATACATATATATATAATACATAAACGTGTGTGTGTGTGTGTATTTTAATGTCATGGCACCTTAGGACTTTCTCCTGAGGCACTGTTTTCTCTCGTTTGAATGACACTCACCTCAAATGTCTCCCTTGGTTTTTATGCTGATCTCTAGTGCCATGCGATTCGGAGATTTCTCCTAACATGGAGGACCAGGTGTTATTCTTCATGAATCGCAGCATTATAAGTTCACTGGATAATTTGTTTCCATCATTAAGCTTTCGAGAGACTGATTCAGTAAGTCAAGGTGAGGTTCACAATATGAAACAAAAAGGAAAGGAATTATTAGGGAAAGAAAGGCTGCTGTGAACAAAGAAAGACTCAGACATATTTTGATGTTTCAGCACTTTGATAATGATTAAAAAGCAACTAACTAGGAAATCCTTCCATGAGGATTGACAGTCATGGTGACATAAATAGGTATATTTAGGAGAGATAAGTAGAAAGATACTGGACACAATACACATGAAACATTAAAAGAAGAAAAGGATCTCTATGACCACAGGTGTGATAAAATTGCTAAACTCAGAAAAGTAAGCTCAGACATCTGTGAAGTTGTAGCCTCAACCCAAACGAGATTTTTTCTAGCTGACTGATTTAAATGTAATACCCTCCATGCAGGGCTGGTCCTTCAAATAATTCTTGCTTTCCTGGTGTTTCCTGACACAATGCCCCTGGATGAGTTCTATCTCCACTCTCCTTGCTTCTCTGGGAAAACAAATGGGTATAGTTGACATACTGCTCATGGAGAAATAAATATCATGAGGGAAGACAGTACTGAAAAATGAACATTTCTCTGACAGTGAGACAATACTTTGCTCTTCAGGGTCTCTGAAGATAGACACTTGTGAATTTATATACAGCAAAATAATCATGTCAAACTTGTAATAAACACAGTAAAACTCTCTTTAAGGTCCTAAAACACAAATCACTCAGTCCTCCAGAGTGACCCCTGAAGCCAATGCTCACACTTACAACATTTAAAGAGCCTCAAAGCTTTTAAGCACAAGAGAAATGAAAACTTACTTTAATACACAGAGCTTTATGTTCATGAGGAAGCCAGGAGATGTGAGCACCACAGACCAAGGGACCATGCCTCTTTTATTTAACAATTTATTAACGTTCCTCAGCCCAAATACTGGAGCAAAGTCAATAAGTAGAATATTGTTCACGAAAAGAGTTAAGAAAAAGATGGCATTCTCACCTATTGAAGCCAGGTTTCTGAAGTTTTCCATCATCACATCTCTGTAGAGTTTCCTCTGAGCAAGATCCAGCAAAGCCCACTCTTCTTGGCTGAAGACCACAGCCACATCCTCAATGACCACTGAGTCCTAAAACATCCCATACATACTAGATCAGCAAAGTACCAAGGTTTTCAAGAATGAAGGGTGAAGCTGACAGTCCTGGAGAACTGAGAATTCATAGGGATTTGACACAAGGTTCTGTGTTCTACCAAGGTATACTCTAAGGTATAGCCATCAGCCTCATCCCTTCACTAACTACGTTCACTTCCTCACTGATTGCATCCTTCTCACAGACTTTCAACACACTGAAATAATCTCTCCACAGTTTGTGACCAACTGCAGTCTTATTCCTCTCTGTGATCTAAAACAGTTTAAAAAAAAACATGGCAGACATCAGAAAAATACTTTAATTCACATCATTACTTCCTTCTGAACAAACAATTTTACACCCTCCCATAAGACCCAAGAGAAGACTCAATAGAACATAAAGCACAGGGTGAAGATGAAGTATTAACAACTGGGAAACACTGCAGAATGGCAGTGTTTCCTTTTGCCCCTCACAGTCATGGGAGAGCCAGGGGCCAGCACAAACTGGCAACTCAAGGCCCTGACCTGGTCATATTTTCTTGAACAACTCTAGGAGATCAGGAGGTGACAGGTCAACCTGCTGAAAAAAGAATATTCTTTTGGAGAATTATGGATTTTTACATATCAGTCACCTATTTTTCAAAAACTCAGTTGTTCTGTCATCCTCTCTGTCCCTATCAAAGAGACAAGCAAAGGTAATAAAACTCAAAAAGAGCTCAGGTGAGAGGAAACATGAGAATCCAGATCTCCCCGCAATTTTCAAATGTTGACACCTGATGTAACTGTACAGAGATTATTAGTGACTGCTCCCCTCAAAAAACATAAATCCATACACCCTCACACACAGTCTAATGTTACAAGACAACAAAGAGCAATACCTCTGCAGAAACAAGAATAGCATGCCCTTGTGTTTGCTGACCAAGAGGTTACGATACCCATTTTGTAATGACTGCACATGGTGAACATATTCAATGTCTCCAAGCTATCCGAGTAAGCATTGTTGAACTGGCAACTGTTTTGTTACATATAATTTTTATCACAAAAAAAATTGTGTAAGTACTTGGAAGTGCAGGTGGTTTATCTGTTAAACTGTTAATTGTTGTGAAGCCTAGGAGACAGAGGCACACCAGCCCTCTAGAGGCTACACTCCAAAGTTCTCTCTCATTTGCAGCACCCAGAAGGCACAAAACCATGACTACCTGAACTCTAATCAAAGGAATTCTCTGGTCTGTAAGGGTGATCTCTGTGAAACAGCACCAATCCACTGGCTTCCTCATTTAGTGAGGAGAAAAAGGCTGCTAAACTACACTTTGGGTGCTAAAACAGAGCAGCTTTAGAATAAGATTTATCTTGTCAATGAAGTGAGCTATGTCATCTCTAATCAATCCTGGCATGACGGTGTCACAACAAACTTTGAGCTACAGCCAAAATCCAAAAGTCTCCTCCACTGCAGTGAGCCAGATTACATATTTTAAAGTCATCCAAAATCCTAACATTCATTATACAATATGATGTTGTTAGGTGCCATTGAGTCGGTTCTGACTCATAGGGACCCTATGTACAACAGAACGAAACACTGCCCTGTCCTGTGCCATCCTCATGATCATTGTTATGCTTCAGCCCATTGTTGCAGCCACTGTGTCAATCAACACAGTGATGAAAAAATGTTCCATGTACTGAGCAACTATGATTTCTGAAAGGTTTTGCAAAAAGTTTTTGACACACTAGTTCGTTTATATCTCATGACTCTCTTAAGCAGATATTATTTCAAATAGTTCATAGTTGACTAAATTTAGAGACTATCAATCACATGCTCAATGTTGCCCCCATGGAATATTACTGAGCTAGGATCACAATGCAGGTCAATTTGCCTTTGAAGCCTAAATTCCTGACAACTATATTTCTGTTTATATGTGTACAGTTTTGTTGTTATTGTGGCTGTCATTCTCCAGTAACACCACAGATGATCTAGAGCGTTGCTGGAGACTAGGGACAGGAGACAAAGGAAACATTCTACTCAATTCCCGGAGCTACTTCTCCTGGTAAAGCCTTGTGTCTCAGATAAGACTTCTCTTCAGAATCTTAACTGAGGCTACCTTTATTTATTAAAATTGATTTAGGTAATATTGACCCAGAGCATACTTAATGCTGGCAAAGCAGGTACAGCAGTGAACAAATATCTCGACGAACATGAATCGTAGGTTCTATGAGTGTGGGCAGTAAACTTAATTTTATATAAATATATATATATATACATAAAATGTCAAGTGGTGATAGTTTTATGGAAAACGCAGCACAATAAGGGGATAAGCAGCAAGTAACACAAGTATATTTATCTTTAGTAAGTTAGTGCAGGGAACAAAATGATTATTTTAGAAAACATTAGCCAGTGAAACCTGACTTGCTAAGGGAAAAAAAGATCGCATAGCAATTCTAAAAACTTGGAAGCAGACTAAGATGATTTTGCAAACGCTCATATACATTTCACATGCTTGTCGACTTCAACAACTCCCAACATAGCGACACAGGAGTCAAAGGGCACCACTGACTTCATGCCCAAGAAAGGGAAAATATATTGCTTATACCCAGAAAAGATCATTAGCAGTAAGCTAAACATATAACAGTCTTCCAAATTTCTTGGCATAGATGAGTGAACACTTCCAGCGCTGCATCTGTTGAAACATCTCAATTTGTAATCCGTCAATTGCTGAAGGCGAGTTTTTTGCCAATGCCTACAGTGCAGCTGATACCTCTCCCTTCAGTACCATCAGTTCTTGATCACATGGTACCTCCTAATGCTTCTCTTTTCAAACCACTCTTTGAAATCTTCTGTTCAGCTCTTTGATTTCATCATTTCTTCCTTTCATGTTAGCTACTCTACGTTCAACAGCAAGTTTCAATGCCTCTTCTGACATCCATTTACATGCCAAGAAATTTTAAATGGTGGCTGGAGAAGACAAAGCAAAGTATTATAATGACATATGCAAAGACTTGGAGATATAAAACCAAAAGGGAAGAATGTGCTCGGCATTTCTCAAGCTGAAAGAACTGAAGAAAAAATTCAAGCCTTGAATTGCAATATTGAAGTATTCTATGGGGAAAATATTAAACGACACAGAAAGCCTCAAAAGAAGATGGAAGGAATATGCAGAGTCACTATACCAGAAAGAATTGGTCGACATTCCACCATTTCAGGAGGTAGCATATGCTCAGGAACTGATCATACTGAAGAAAGAGGTCCAAGCTGCACTGAAGGCAATGGTGAAAAACAAGGCTCCAGGAATTGACGAAATACCAATTGAGATGTTTCAACAAATGCATGCAGCACTGGAAGTGCTCACTCGTCTATGCCAAGAAATTTGGAAGACAGCTACCTGGCCAACCGACTGGAAAAGATCCATATTTATGCCTAGTCCCAAGAAAGGTAATCCAACCGTATGTGGAAATTATCAAACAATATCATTAATATCAAACACAAGTAAAATTTTGCTGAAGATCTTTCAAAAGTGGCTGCAGCAGTATGTCGACGGGGAACTGCCAGAAATTCAGGTCAGATTCAGAAGAGGATGTGGAACCAGGGATATTATTGCTGATGTCCGATTGATCCTGGCTGAAAGCAGACAATACCAGAAAGATGTCTACTTGTGTTTTACTGACTATGCAAAGGCATTGGATTGTGTGGATCATAACAAATTACGGATAACATTGCAAAGAATGGGAATTCTAGAACACTTAATTGTGCTCGTGAGGAACCTGTACATAGATCAAGAGGCAGTCATTCGAACAGAACAAGGGGATACTTTCTGGTTTAAAGTCCGGAAAGGTGTGCATCAGAGCTGCATCCTTTCACACCTATTCAACCTGTATGCTGAACAAATAATCTGAGAAGATGGACTCCATGAAGAAGAACAAAGCATCAGGATTGGAGGAAGATTCATTAACAACCTGCGTTATGCAAATGAAAATACCTTGCTTGGTGAAAGTCAAGAGGACTTGAAGCACTTACTGATGAAGATCAAAGATCACAACCTTCAGCATGGATTACACCTCAACATAAAACAAAAATCCTCAAAACGGGACCAATAAGAAACATCATGATAAATGGAAAGAAGATTGAAGTTGTCAAGGATTTCATTTTACTTGGATCCACAATCAACATTCATGGAAGCAGCAGTCAAGAAATCAAAAGATACATTGCATTGGGTAAATCTGCTGCAAAAGATCTCTTTAAAGTATTGAAAAGCAAAGATGTCACTTTGAAGACTAAGGTATGCCTGATCTAGGCCATGGTGTTTTCAATCGCCTCATATGTATGCAAAAGCTAGACAATGAATAAAGAAGACCAAAGATGAACTGATGCCTTTGAATTATGGTGTTGGCAAAGAATACTGAATATACCATGGACTGCCAAAAAGAACGAACAAATCTGTTTTGGAAGATGTACAACCACAATGCTTCTTAGAAGCAAGGATGGTGAGACTACATCTCACATACTTTGGACATGTTACCAGGAGGTATCAGTCCCTGGAGAAGGACATCATGCTTGGTAAAGTAGAGGGTCGGTGAAAAAGATGAAGACCCTCAACAAGATGGACTGACAGTGGCTGCAACAATGAGTCAAGCATAGTGACAATTGTGAGGATGGCACAGGACCAGGCAATGTTTCATTCTGTTGTATACAGGGTTGCTATGGGTCGGAATCGACTCAAGCGCACCTAACAACATAAAACAGAATGAGACTAAATGAGCACACCAGCCCAGGAGCAAGGACAAGAAGGCAGGAAGGGACAGGAAATCTGGTAATGGGGAATCCAAGGTCCAGAGAGGAGGAGTGCTGAGTTGTGGAGTTGTCACAAACAATACGTGTATTAATTGTTTAATGAGAAACTAATTTGCTCTGTAAACCATCTAAAGTACAATTAAAGGAAAAAAGAAGTGATGATGGTTGAGACTAGGGTGGTGGCTGGAAAAATGGTGTGTGCAAGGGATAGTTCTAGACA